CAAAGCATGTTTAGGATACATTTTCATTTAATGATAAAAAACATAGTTTTTGGCTTTTCTTTGCATATAGACGCTTGACACATTAAGAACGACTGAAATAATAATTTGAGTAATAATTAATATGTACTTGTTACTTTATAGATTTAATAGATATTTGTTGTTACTTTATTAACGTTTTTACGTAAAAACGGCTGCTGCTATGATTTTGTCTGGTTTATGGGCTCGTTGCTGTCCTAATTTAGGATCTTCTTTTTAATAAATTCTTGAAAATGTTAAAAAAAAAAGAGAGAGAGAAAGGGAGCCCGGCGAAGATGTTTGCCCCGGGGACCGTGCTGGCTCTCGATGTTCCTGGCTACGCCTATACTTTTCACAGTTTTTAACGAGAAACTTTTTATTGTTCCAGCTTGTCTACCCTTGACATTTTCAAAGCGAAATTTCTATTTCACGATTATTTTTAATCTCAGTTCATTAACGTTACAATCGTATGCAAACACACTGAAGTATTTTCACGAATTCGACATCCTTTGTAAATCGCCAAAAACGATAATGAATGAAAAATTATTAGTCGAAAAAACAAAACAAAAAACATCCCTGAATAAATAATTTTTCTTAAGAAATATCACTATTTTAATAATGGAATTGACTGTCACTTTTGTAACGCGTCATAACTGAAAAATCTGAAAGTTCAGCGGCAGCAAGTCTTGAACATGTTCAGTTCCTTAAATGACATAGCGGAAATGGTTAGGAAGTTCAAATACATGAACTTTAACCAGAAGGCAGTCATCCTATAGAGCATCTTACCATAACTATAATTTGTCGAGATTCAAACTCGTGTTTCACAATAAGCTAATTGGATGATGGTTGATTAATTAATTGATGCTGATTCTAAAATGTTTTTTTTTGTTTTCTTATAATCGTTTAGAGTTACAGTTGTCCTTAATCCTATAAAGATTAACCCCTTTTATAAAACTAAGGGATTATTTCTTTTGTTCATAGGAAAAAAAAATCATTAAACATCGTCAAGTACTTACAGTTGGTCATTAATTAAATTTAGTGTTGAGGCATTTATTGAAACTTAAAATATATAGAGTTTAAAATGTTAAAGTGTGTGTGAACCAATCCGTACGTGGATAATGGAACGTTAGCATGTCTTTTAATAAAAGAAATGTTCTCCTCCTACCACTGGCTCAGCGTTAAGCTTAAGGACTTATAACGTTATAATTCGGGGATCGATCCTTGTAGACAACCCATTGTGCAGCTTTCTTCTTGAAATAAAACAAAAAAATGAAAAATGAAAAATTTCCCTTTTTTTACTATATTCGTAGCGATCATTTAAACCTTGACAGTTAGCTGCATTTCGTAGACCTACCAAGTATGTACTGTGAACGTTATATTTGAATAATTCTGAAAAAAGTTTTGACCAGGTTTGTTTGCTTTGTTTTCAGCATAAAGCTGTACAATGGGCAACCTGCGGTGTGTCACCACGGGGGATCGAATTTCGAATTTTAATTTTATAGGCCCTAAAGCTTACCGCTGAACCACCAGCGAACAACTACAACGACTACTTTCATCTTACTTTGTATGGATTTCTGTTGATGTAAACATACTTGTACACATAAGACATTATACTAATTTTGTATGGATCTCTGTCAATGTAAATGTGCTTGTGCACATAAGCACATTATACTAATTTTGTATGGATCTCTGTCAATGTAAACGTACTTGTGCGCATAAGACATTATGCTAATTTTGTATGGATCTCTGTCAATGTAAATGTGCTTGTGCATATAAGCACATTATGCTAATTTTGTATGGATCTCTGTCAATGTTAATGTGCTTGTGTATATAAGCACATTATGCTAATAGAAGGGTAATTGGACAAACAGTGATTTATAAGCATAATAAAAATTGTTCCTTAAAGAGAACATTTTACATGTTTCAATGGAACAATGGTCTGTCTTCTTCAGTTATGAATAATGTTTCCTTGTATAGTGTCTATAAGAGCAAACTAGGCCACACTTATAAACCATTTACGCTTGCATTCAAAATCAAAGGTGGAGCCAACCCTTATAAGTATTTGTGAATGAGTTTTATAAAGGTAATTCATAGAATTTCCTAAGTAACTAGTAAAAGTATTTCGTTATTATTAATAGTCTAGCTCACATGACACAACATGAAAATATTCAACCAAGCAAACATGCAAGTAAAACGGAACAAATATGGTTGAAACTACGGTTTGTTTGCTTATTTTAGAATTTTCGCGCAAAGATACACAAAAAAGGAGGGGGGGGGGTGAGGATTGGAACGTGAGGAAGTGCAAGAGATTACACTTCATAACGAGGGGTTAATCATTTAACCTTAAATATAAAGAGCATCTTAACTCAACGATGATGTTAAACAAGTTCCTTAATTATTCAGACACTTTCATCAACGAGGCTTAAGACTGGTGATGTCGATGGTTCATTAACATTTTAAAATTTAGATGAGTCATTCAAATGAACTCGTACTGTTGAACAGGACTCTTAAATTTGGGAAGCTTTTCGTGCTTTTGTAGATGTAGATAAAGTGTGATTCACAAATCAAGTTTCCAACTTACGATAAAAATAAAAATCTGCTCTATACGACAGCCAGACTGCAGATCGGAATGTCCGAGGTTCGAGCCGAGATATGAAACTGAATAAGCTCTGCACTTTCAGCTGTGAGGGTTTAATAACCAAGGCAGTAAATATACAGTTAACAGTAGCCGTATAGGCGGAGAGTGTTATTGAGTCAACAGTTCCAAACTAAGAATGACTAGCCGTTTATCCAATGTGTCGTTTAGGGCGCTGTTCAGTTTGAATGATTTGTTTCGAATTTCGCGAAAGCTACACGATGGCTGTCTGCGCTAGCCGTCCTTAATTTAGTAGTGAAAGACCGCCAACTGGTGGGCTACTCTTTTACCAATGAATTGACTGTCACGTTATAACAGCCCCACGACTAAAAGGGCGAGCATGTTTGGTGGGATGGAGATTCGAACCCGCGCCCCTCAGATTGCGAGTCAGGCGCCCTATCCACCTGGATATGCTGGGCCTTCAGTTGGAAACTACTAAATACCAATACTAATGCACTATATTATCATAATTAATTATAAGATTAACAGATATTGTATTATTTTTGTATGTAATCAAATATCGCTATCGTTTTTATACCAGGCACGTAAATCATCACTGCTGTCACTTCTATCTTCAATAAACTGACCGACTGATTTGTATGGACAATGTAACTGACGTAACTCTTAGTTCACCCGTATCAACATAGTAGATGTATCTTAAGCTTCAACGATGCTGTCACCTAGAGATAAACGTATTAAGCTCCAACAATACTAATAAGTAAATGTAAATTAAGTGTTTTTGTAAAGCTGTTAGCTGGACATGTTACTACTTGTTTGTTTGCTTGTTTCAGAATTTTTGCGCAAAGCTACACAAAGGTTATTTATGGGTAGTCGTCCCAAATTTTGAACTACTAGACTAGAGGGAAGGCAAACAATCGACAGCACTCTTCGTCAGATCTTGTCTGACCGAATAGTGTGATTTGAACGTTATTCTTATGTTGTACCCATGGCTCGAAAGTGCGGAGCGTGTTTTGGTGACGAACGGAACAGTCCAAGCACGCTAACCACTCGACCACGCCCAGTCCGAGAAACTATCGACTATATGAAAAGTTCAAAATCAATATTTGAAAGAATGTTAAATAATGACAGAGAAATAATTGAAAACAGAAACTAGGAGTTATGAAATATAAATTTTCGTTTCGGTTCTTTCGGAAAATAGATCACGTTTGAAGTTGACATTTAAGATCTCAATTATACAAAGCTGGTTGTTGTTGTTTAGAAAATTATAAGGCTGTATGTAGTATAGAAGACACCGAGAAATCATGATGACCACGTGTCTCATAAACAATAAATATCTTCGACGAGAAACTTCAGCTTTGACTAAAACATAATGAGTTAAATCAGCTCTTTAGTTGCATAAAGTACAGCAAACACTTTTCGATCACCCAATAAAAACGCTAGAGGGTGCCATTAAGAAACGATTGAATTTGTTCTTATTCCCTTGGACTTAAAAGATATAGTATTTTAGCACTGTACGTATAACTTAACATTATAATCTTGCATCAAACAAAAATTCACCAACATATAACTTACTTGATGCATCAGCAATCCGGGGAATTCTTGGGTCATCGTTGAGGCTACACTTGTATGAATAATCGGCAGAACCAGTCCAAGAGTCATTGATACCCTCGTTCTCAACGGTAGTATAGTATATGACACGAATAAACAATAGATGATCTCCCATACCCCATCAGCGGCAGTGTGTCGGGCACCCCACGATCCTGAACCCCATGTCCCTCGCGTCCCGACGTCAAAAGGCATACAAACGAGACAAAAGGTTACAAAGAAGCATAATATTACGTAACATAAAGCCAGCAGATAATAATCTTTATGCCATTTCGTGTAGATGAATGCCAGGATTGTGGCAAAAACAAGACAGTGTAGCAGGAAATACAAGTTTGCAGCAGTGGCAGTTTTGACAAAGACGAAATGCAAAATGGTTAGAACTCCAGTGAAGAAAATAAAGAGCGCAAGAACACTAACGATTGAGGACTGCTGAATCTTGAAGGTATAACGCTGGTATAAGGATTCTAACTCTTCATTGTCGAACCTTCGACGGTTAATCAGGCGAGAAAACAACACTTTTCTCTGTACAGTTCCTGTCTTAACTTTACCATCCATGATCTATATCACAGAAGGGAGAGAAGGGTCAGTTTAAAGTTAAGCCCAATTTTCTGTCAAATTTGGTTACCAGGTGAAAGTAAGAAAACAATAAATGCCATATTTTCATCAGATCCCTTTTCTTTGCCCCTTAGACTAATACAACCCACAAAAAAACAGTAGGTTCTTGACAGAGTTGCTAAATTTATACGAATCACAACTTTCAGTCCAATTCTGGTTTTGTTTTTATTACTTATACAACTCAAATGTAAGGCTAATATTAAAAAAAAATAGCAAACTGTTACAAATTACATAACTTGATTTTAAGAATTTCTATAAATACCAAACCGATTAGCTCCAGGTTTTAGCCTTTCCAGGTTTCTCATACAAGAGTTTCGGGAAAAGATGCCTTAATATGATTCAGTTTACAATACATCGAGTCATAGAAAGCAGAGTGACTAGGACCTGACCTTTGGAGAATTAGTTTTTAAGCTTGTTACGAAAACTTTTAAACTGCTAAGAAACCTATTTAGAATACACAGTAGTGAAATAACTATATTTAATAATCACATAACAAGCTCCTAATTTAAGAAAACTGCTCAATTATGATTACAAACATAAACGTTCCTCTCAAACTCTAGTTCAAGATCATTTAGTTAGATAAAGCGTTTCTAGTCTACGCAGCACCATTCTCGAACTGCACGTGCTAGTAGTTTCATAGCTACAAAACAGCGTCCGCTGTGAAACCAGGTATGGTATGTAGGGAACTCCAATATTTACAAAGCGCCATCTAGTGATTGATGCTTTAAGTAAGTATAGCTAAACTTTTCAATCCATCTTTCGAATTCGGATTTCGATTCCTCGCGGTGGACAGAGCACAACTAGCTTAACGATAAAAAACAAACGAATGATCAAACATAAGAACGTTTACAAAACTGATATCAGTGTATAGATTATTATTAGGCTTCCTACAGTTTCAAACAGTTTTCCCAATTATTTTAAAAGAGGCCCTCCAAGTGGCAGAACATAGATAGCCAGTTCTGTAGCTTTGTGCTTAACAATAACCAAAACAAAACTTAAGAAAACTTAAGTTTTCGTTATTGTAAAGTATGAAAAACATTTTACATTTTTTTGAGAATGGGATGGCAAGCCATCATATTCTTTGGACTATCGAGAGTCCTTCTTCAAGCAAAATTTAAGCTAAGAACCAAAAGATGAGAGAAAGATGCTTAAGTACTGTAAATTGAGGCATAAGGTACACATACGGGAGTCCTAAGCTAAGAACCAAAAGAAGAGAGAGATATATGCTTAAGTATTGTAAATTGGGGCATAAGGTACACATACGGGAGTCCTAAGCTAAGAACCAAAAGAAGAGAGAGATATATGCTTAAGTATTGTAAATTGGGGCATAAGGTACACATACGGGAGTCCTAAGCTA